TTAGCTTTGGATGGTGTCACGAAATACAACATAATTATTTGTCGTATGGTTGTTTGAGTTGTGGTATTTGTAATACATCTTTCCTTTCAAATCTTCGACCTTGGGAATATTATGCCCTGGTCGAAGCTTGACGATTTTTGCAAGTAACAATTGGTCGAAGATGGCATCAGCCTTGGTGATGTCAAATGTGTAGACCTTTGACGTTTTGATGGCGGCTTCCACAGAGGTCGAATGGGTTTTGACATCTTTAGAATTAGCGTGAACCAACGCTTTGCATACGTATGATTTGTTAATTACTATCTCGGCCACATCTATGTTGGCATATTGGGACTCTTCGCCTTTGGTCGATGCATAACTTAACATTGGGCTTTTGTAGATTGTCCTTTGAGTTGGGGATTTTGAGATTTTCTCTTCTTGGAGCAAATAATCATATTGCTCGATATGTTGAGCCAGTTCATACATATCTCACCATTTAAGGGAGCCTAACAAACTCGACTTTAGGGATGGGTACTCGGCACCAGTTTCTTGCTGACTGAAACCTCATAAGATATTCCATTGGTGACTTGTCAGATGATTAAGCCATCCTGGCCCAAGAAGAGACTGAGATTTCCATCCCTGGCTGATAGAATTGCTCATGAAATTTCTCGACTAATTCCTCCCAGCTTTGGATGGAGTTGGGTGAGAGGTTGATGTACCATGCGAATGCTGAGCCAATTAGCGAGAAATTGAATAGTCGGAGAAAAGATGATTCTCCAATAAAAAAGCTAAAGTCTGAAATCTTGAATCTCTTAGGATACTCGAACCTCTCTACAAAGGCTGAATATGGGTGAATGAATTTTGGAAACTTCGACCCTTTTTTTAAGGCTGAATAAATCATTCTTTGAACTTCAACCATGTCAACAGGCACCGCTTTTGCTCATTGATCAGTTCTGACCAATCTGTTGCTTGATTCACCATTTTTCTCTAAGTCAATAATTTTGAGCTGAGCAGATCCTGTCTCGGCCTGTATCACTGAAAAGGGATTATCTTTTAGAAGATAAGGCTGCCTAGGTCGATCGGTGGGTCCAATGTCATGGAATTTATTAACCAGAACTTCGAGCAATCTGTTGTGCACAACGCTATTATCACACATCTCTTCAAGTATGCTTTTTACCTCTCGGCTGAACATTTGCTCAAATTATAAGGATTGTTCCTCAAATCGTAGCCGGAGAAAAGATCTAGATGGTGGATCGGAGGCCTCATCATTGTCATTGCCACAATCTCCTACTAGTCATTCAATAAAAATGCCTTTTATCATTTTGATGTGGATTTCTGCATCATGAGTCTGACCGCTGACATTAATTTCCTTTTCTCGGCGTGTTGTACCTGTGGCTTCAGGTGTCACGGCAGCATGAGGATTATATGCTTGTAATAAGCCATCGTGTCCTGCGCTTTGGACTGTATGTGGAAGATTAGTCGTTGACTTACCCATGATTGTTTTCTTTTTTATCGACTGCGTTTCAATTTTCATGAACTTTGTAGTTTTAGCACTGGGTCCCATTGGGCGTGCCAAAATGTTGACAATAAGAACTACCAAGACTACATGGTGCGTAGGGCGAGTAATTAATAATTTAACTACGTCATTCGGTTAACTGCAGGGCTGCCAACTCGTCAGTCGAGTTCGGTCGGGGAGTAAAATATGTTGATATAGTGTTGGGCGTGCTGCTGACTTCTTGATCTTGCGATTACGGCTGGGGAAGGAACACGTCTCGGCCTTCGGGTTCTAGAGCCTGAAGACAAGGCTACTAGTTTCTTTGAAATTCACAAATTGTCGGCACCAGGTTTGGTCTCAATAATTATATTCGTGAGAGTTAGGTTCACTGAACTGGTACCAGACAGTACAGACACAATTACTCGAAAAAGAAAAATGTCTTGATTGTAAATGTGGTTCGGCCGTTTGAATGTCGAACTCTAAAATGTACTTGTGAATATCCAATCATAAAATAAAACTCAGCTTTCAATGTGCCGAGCCTAATAACCTAGTAACACTTCACTTCGCTGAGAAGCCTGATGAGATGACTTCTACCAACAAGGACTTGGAAATCCTTGTTCACCGAGACTTGGATAAATAACCAATCAGCCTTGTAGCAGTGTTGTCTATCCAAACTGAAGGTGCTCCTCAGTCAGCTGATTCTGCAACTTCAGTGCTGTCTATCCAAACTGAAAATGTCGCCGATTGCCTTCACAGTGCTGTTTATCCAAACTGAAGATGTGTTGGAGGGAAGAAATGGGAAGAGGGAAAAATCTCAAGGTTGTTGAGAAGCTTTGTGCAGGGCAATTTGTGTGTTGATTTAGAGGGGCCCTGAATAATGCACTACTTTCTCTTGTTATAGCAGTGAACCCCTTCATGGCTAAACTAGAAATGTACTCGGATTAGAACTCCTCAACCCAATCTGATCAAGTTTCGGCCAATCCTAATCCCTATATGACTTTGAACCAAGCTCTTTAACGAACCAGATTCATCCCCTAATTTTAAGCATCTTCAGCTTTAAGACTCCTTGTTGCACTAAGGTTCAACTACCTCACTCTTATCTAAACCAATCCTCCTAGCAACAAGATTCGGGCGACCTTAACTAGACAGCCCATGATAAGATTCTAGATGAATGTTACTGGGCTGAGAACAACACTAAGCTCGGCCCAAAATATTATTTTGAGCCCAAACAGTCCCACAACCAATACTCATATTTTGAAAATAATGAAGATCCCTTTTCTTAAAGGGCCTATATAAATCTTATCTATGTGTGTGGAAATCTCTGATTTTAGAACCCTAAATGACACTTAACCCAGGGTAATGTTTGATAGCTATTTGGATTTTAAATGTTTTGGACATGATAAAGTTTAAAAGAGAAAAACGGAAAGAAGAATAGTAGTGAAAGAGAGAACAATAAAGAAGAATGTATATATAAAAAAAATCTTCTAATTTTACTCAAAAAAAAAAATCTTTAATATGAAAACAAAACAACTTAATATAGAATTTGCTTTCGATAAACAAAAGTTTGAAATATATTTAGTTTTTCTTTTTCTGCCTGTGCACACTTCTACAATTTCTACATCTTACCTAAGGCCATCTCCAACCGAAGGGTCCAGAGGGCCAGAAGGCTGAAAATAGCACGAAAACTGTCTCCAACCGAGGACTAGGCCAGAGGGCTGTGGAATCTGAGAGGGCCCCACGGAATCGGAAACGGCTGGAGGGCTGGAGGGTTTGTTGCAAGCAGCCAGCCAGCTAGCCTGGGGCTGGCCAAAAAACTGCTTAATCCTGTCGGTTATAACTGACAGGAATTCTTAAAAAGAATTTTGAATCCAATGGCTAGCTGGCGCCAGTTACCGTTGGATTCAAATTTTTTTTTTTAAATTCTCAAAAAATTCTATTTTTTTTTCCTATAAATACCTAAACCATTTATTCACCATTCCTCACAAAAATTTCACCATTCCTACACCATTTCAATTCTCATATTTTCCTTCCTCTTTCAAAAATCTATCCTTCAATTTTTTCAATAATTTTCAAATGGCCTCGTCTGCAATGAAAGGTAGGGCTTAGACCTGAAAAGAAGATGAAGCTCTTTGCAAGGCTTATAGATGGGTGTCAGAAGATAGTGTGAGGGGGAATTGTCAAACAAATGATGGTGTTTGGACTCGTGTATCCAAAAAATACTTAGAGTTCTATGAAGGCACCACTCCAATGAATATTCAAAACCACGAGAGTTTTTCTTCAAGATGGAAGAAACATCTTTAGCCAAGTTTGAACAAATGACATCAAGCATTGTTAGCAGCCGCAAATAGACATGAAAGTGGCGCTAATTACTACGACGAAGTAAGTGTTTTCACAATTTATTTTAAATATTTAATTATATTACATTTAATTTCATAAATTAATTTCCTTTAATTTTTTTTAGGTTCGCCAAGAGGCGGAATTGTATATGGAGAGCAGCTCGAAACCCTTTCAGTTTCACAATTGTTGGGAAATTTGTAAATGGTGGGTGTTATTTGAAGATCCACCACAGAGAGCTCCAATGCCGGTGTACGGAACTACATCCTCAACTGCAGATATGAATGAAGATGGATCTCCAACCATTCAACAAACAAGGGTAGAAAATCTGTCTTCGGGTGAAGGTTCCATACCTAGGGCTATAGGACGAAACAAGGCACGAAGGTTGAAGGAAAAGGGCAAGGCAAATGATGATTACGCCGCTCAACATGAAGTGGCGGCCTCATTGTGATTATTGGCGGAGCAAAATGCCCTTGAGGCGGAAGAAAGGAAATGTAGGCATGAAGAAGGGGCCAAACAAATACAAAAAGAGATGGATGATAAGAATATGGAAAGGAACACTTCGAATTACACTCCAATGAGTAAGGCCTATTTTGATAGGAAAAAAAAAGAAATTATGAGCCGACGGCAGTTGTTTACCTCTGACTATACTCCTACAATGGCGGATGATGAAGATGATGTTGATTATAAATATTAAATTTATGTTATTTTAGTTTTTAAATTTAAGTTAATGTTGTTTTCAAATTTAATTTGTAGTTTTTAAATTTAATTTGTCGTTTTTAAATTGTAGTTGTAGTTTTTAAATATACGTTGTAGTTTTTAAATTTAAATAATTATTTTTAAATTTAAGTTATTGTAGTTTTTAAATTTAAATAATAAATTATGTTTATCCCTATAACCCTCTTATTTATCTACTCCTCTTTATTACTCTCACTATATACAGTTCTAGTCTAGAACCGACCCCTCTAGAATCGCATGCCCAATTTGTGGTGGAAATTTCTCCCAACAAAAGGAAGACGTCATTACTTTTCACTTCTCAGAGGCAAAGTAAAGTTGCCATCCCGGCCAATGAAACGAAGTTTGCAATATGTACGAAAACGACACTATGACTTTCGATTTGCTCAGCCAGTACGTCAGCCCAGCCCAATCGTCACCGTACCATCCTCACCGCTTCTCTATATATATACACCTCTTTTCAATTGCCCCTCCCTCACCATCGCTCTAGTTGTCTATTGTCTCATATATTCAGTGGAATTCAGTTTTAGTTGGTTTTTGTTACTTTTGAGAAAAATAAAATGGTGGTAACTCCAGAGCAAGAGCACCCAAAGAAGGCATTTGGATGGGCTGCTAGAGATTCATCTGGCGTTCTCTCTCCCTTCAAATTCTCAAGAAGGTTATTATTATTCTTTATAGCTCTCCCATTTATTTATTTTTCGTTTGATTTTATTTCTCTCAAATTTGTTTATGTGTACGTCTTAAACATCATAAACCCATTTTATTTCCCCTATTTTCTGATGTTGCACACCATAATCTGGCGTCGGTCTTTTGATAGAATAAATATAAAATAAAAAATCAATTAAGCTTCATAATAAACAGGTTGTGCAAAAGGAGTATAACCACGTGCGGAAATGTTTGTTTGAATACAATCCTTAGGGAGTGTTTACATATTCGTAAACTAGAATTACAATAAAGAGTTAGTTTTCATTATGGCTACTGTAACACCATGGAACGTGTCACATAAAAGATGAAAAGGCCACATATCCAATAAGTACCGAAGAAGTTAATAGTTATAATTTTTGGGTAGTATTACTTTTACGAGATCTGAGTTTTCATTTATGTCTAAATTGAACTAATTTCGTTACAGGGAAACTGGAGAGAAAGATGTTTGTTTCAAAGTTCTGTACTGCGGGATATGTCATTCGGACCTTCACATGGTCAAGAATGAATGGGGTTCCTCTGTCTATCCTCTGATTCCCGGGTACTTATTTCTTCTCAACTTTTTAATTCAGTGGCATGACTTTGAGTTTGATTAGTCAAACATATGTTTTCTTTTCTTCGGATATATAGAAGATAGAGAGAGCTATTGAGCAACCCACAAAAAATTGGAAGTGCTATTTAAATTTTCATACAATTAATTCGATAGAATATGTAATTAGTTTAGAGTGATGCTAGCATTTTCCATTTGTTTATGTTGGCGGAATTCATAGAAACAGAACCCTTAAGTACGATGCATGCAGCATGCTATAAAGATTTGTTTATATTATTTTTTGTTTAAGAAATAAACAAGGGTAGGGTTTAGACTCTGAAATTAATCCGTGTTACAACTGAAATCAATACCTTAAAATACAAGTATTTCAAGCAATGGAGGAAATAGCTCTACCCCATAAATAAAGAACATTGGTAAAATGACCTAAATCCATAATAACATTCGTAAAGAAGTTCGCCTCTCCATCGACATCTATTTAAAATGGTATTTTCATATAAATATACACATACACACTAGGCAATAGGCGTTCACACGCTCACATCCATCTTTATTGTTGATCACTTGATTTTTGAATTGAAAAAGTTAAATAAAAACAAAGGATAAGATCAAATAAGAATGTTTATAAGGAAAGAAAAAAATGTGTATATTTATCCTTTTAATGCCTTCGCCAATATAGTCCGCACTTTTGGTAAATGTTATTGCTGAATACAGACGAAAGTGACTATACAGACGCATACTTCACACTGCTAAATTAGCTATACAGTCATTGAGCCAAATTAATTATTTGATGGCCATATAAATCCATGTGGCAAGCATTTAAGGTGGAACAACCATGATATATGATGGTCCCCTGATGATCTGTGGCCTGTATAGCTGGGTCATATTTTCTTTATTTTCCAGTAACATCAGGACTTTTTTTTATTGCTAACAAGTGACAACAACTGATTTAAGAGCATCTTCAATGAAGTTAGTGGAGGAAAAAGATGGTAGACCAATCTGAAAGTTTTTACTCATCATCTTTTTAATTTTAATTTTTTTTTAAAATTTTTTTTTTAATGAGGCAATGGGGTTTGGATAAAATAAAAATTACCCCTACGTTTAACTTGCTGGAATTATCAAAGTTTTACCATTAGTCCTAATGAGTTCTTCTAATAAGAAAATGATATTAGTTTAACTAAGTATGAACATAAATGGGAAATGCAGGCATGAAATAGTTGGTGTAGTGACAGAGGTGGGAAGCAAAGTACAAAAATTCAAAGTTGGAGACAAAGTAGGTGTTGGATGCATGGTGGGTTCTTGCCACTCTTGCGACAGTTGTAACAACCACCTCGAGAATTACTGCCCCAAAATGATACTCACTTATGGTGCCAGGAACCTTGACGGCACCATAACATGTGGAGGTTACTCCGACATCATGGTGGCGGATGAGCATTTCATAGTCCGCATTCCAGAAAACCTACCTCTGGATGGTGCTGCTCCTCTCCTATGTGCTGGGATTACAACTTACAGTCCCTTGAGATATTTCGGACTTGACAAACCAGGCATGCATGTGGGCGTGGTGGGTCTAGGTGGTCTAGGGCACCTCGCGGTAAAATTTGCCAAGGCTATGGGGGTTAAGGTCACAGTGATCAGTACCTCCCCTAATAAGAAGGAAGAAGCTATTGAACATCTTCATGCTGATTCATTTTTGGTTAGCCGCGATGAAGATCAAATGCAGGTGATTATTTGAAGGATTTGCTTTTGTACTTTAAATTGATTAGGTAGACGGGGCAGTACGGGCTTGTCCCCTAACTTTGATACTATCTTAAATTTCAAGTAGACTGACTATGGGCCCACTCCAACAACATCAATATTATCCCCACTTGGCCACGTGCTCAATCCATCAGGTGTGGGGTTTTAATACAAAAACCCTCAGTGTTAGTTAGAGTGGGGTAATTCTATTTAAAGGGCTTGTTCTCAAGTCTTCTGGCCAATGTGGGACAGAGCAATTCTAACATAATCTTATATGTCGTCATGTAAATCTTGTAGGCTGCCATGGGGACATTGGATGGTATCATTGATACGGTTTCCGCACTCCACCCTCTATTGCCTTTGATTGGTTTGTTAAAGTCTCATGGAAAGCTTGTGATGGTTGGTGCACCCGAGAAACCACTTGAGCTTCCAGTTTTTCCTTTGCTCATGGGTAAGCATATCACTGTTCTCATAGTTTATCACTTCACTTACGTCTAGTTGTACATTTTTACAACCGGTGATAGGTCATATTTTCTAAGTTTGCTTTCGATGTTAACCTTGTAATTGTGCATTATAACCGGTGTATTATGTTATTAACAAACGTTTATTTTCTAAATATAGGAAGGAAGATAGTGGCCGGTAGTTGCATTGGAGGTATGAAGGAGACACAAGAGATGATTGATTTTTCAGCCAAGCACAAAATAACAGCTGATATTGAGGTTATCCCAATTGATTACTTGAACACTGCCATGGAGCGCCTTGTCAAAGCGGATGTTAGATACCGATTTGTTATCGACATTGGAAACACGTTGATATCTAGCTCTTAAATTTTGCATCATCTGTTGTTGGATATTGTGGCCGGGTTGAAGGAAGAAATTGGGTTTAATTAAGTTGTCTCAATTTTGTTGTCTGGTAAACTTCTCGTGTGAAAATTATACATTACGAAACCAACTTGGTCCAGATGTTGGATTCTAAATAAAATGGCAAGTATGCTTTTATTTGGAAATGAGTTATTTTTTATATTTTATTTTTTTAATCTAATTACAAACAATAACTACTATAGGGTTACACTAAAAGGAAGAATAAGGATTTAAACCTGGGACATTACGAGTTGAACAAAAAAATTTTAAGCACCATGGTAATCCATCGCTTGCTATGGGAGAATGAGATTCAAGAGAGAATGAGGTTAAAGATTTGTTTTTATTTTATTTTTGGTATCGTTGTGTACACGTAAGTTTCATTATTTCAACAACAAAAACTTGCGATAATAGATGTTAGCAAACCGACACCTTGTGGCTGTGGTTGGTTTAGGTATGCCCATGTAAACTAGTTTGCAAACGTGGGGCTTATAAGATCACAGTAAAAATTGTGACAATACATCTTCATTTCCCTTTGTTTCCTTATATGGTTTTTTTTTTTTTTTTTTCTCTGTGTGTGTGGAAAGCAACGATAGATTCATTGAAAAGGCCACAACAGTACATCCAATGCAACAAGTAGGGTTGAGGCAAAGAATAGCTCACTCAACCGTTATATTTCTTCACCAAAAGGTCAACAATAAGATTAGGAGTTTTTCAAACCAAGAACAAGAACCATCAACCTGAAGGGCATGGTGAGCTAAACGATGGACAATTCCCTTAGCATGTAGGCGAGTGTGGGCAAGAACAACTCCAGTGACCCCGAACAACAGCACTTTTACATCCTCCACAATGTGTCCAATGAGAGACACGTTGATGAGAGGCTGTTGTAATGTTGTGATCTGGAGAGAATAGCACCCTTATTTTTTATAACCTCTTTTTGCAGACAACGCACCCCTTCTCTCTATGTTAATAATCAGGATTTGATTGATTTGAACAAGTTGCCATGTTTAATTTAGGTGCTTTTCTTTCTATGACCTAATTACTGACGTTTGTTGACCCGTTTGGAATTGCTTATCTAGAAAGGTCCTTATACTACTCTAAGCGCTTTTATTAAAAGCTGTTGTATATATGTCAACAATTTGTGATAAATTTATATATGCTAATAAATAAACAGTGTATGAATAATGAACTAATATTAAACAGAAATATTGAAGATCGAAGCTTGCGTACCGCAATGTCCTTGAAACATAAATTTCGCCCATACTCAGTGCTTGTAGTTCTCCGAACGTCTGTTTCACCAGGATTCAAGGATCAAGTTAGAATTCCAGCACCGGAAAACTTAACTTCTGGCGAATTTCCTTATGGTACTCTCAGTAAGAATGCTATGGATTATAGAAGGAGAGTTATGTTTTCTGTGTTCTAAATGTCATGCAGACGGATGTATATATAGTGGGATTATGCCTGTTCGCAACAGGTATAAGAATGGGATATGACTATTGGGAGACATCTCTTCAGATGGGATGCAGTGGTCTCTGCGTTTTTCATTGACTTAAGACTTCATCTGAAAAGATGAGTCTGTTCAAATAAAAATTAATTTAATTAAATTTGAAATTAATTAAAAATAATTAATTAAAAAAATTTAATTTTCAGAGCCCAAGAGCCCCAGGCCCATCTTTTGATAATTAATTATATATATAAAATTATAATTAATTATGTATTAATTACCAATTAATTAGTGCACCCCAAAGCCCAACCCCAAGGGTGAGCCCAATTTTATTCTCCAAAGCTTATTACTCCAATCACTTTCCATAAAGGACAAAGCCTTATAAAGTGATGAAATCTTTTGAGAATGACCAATGTGGGACAAAGAAATTTCTACTCAAACTACTCAAATTTCCAACAATACCTCACATTTGAGTTGAAATTTCATTCAAACTCCAAACACCAACAATTACCCCACATTTGAATGCAAATGTATGACTAGGCTGCCTAAAACTGAGAGAGAATAAGCATCATATGCATCGGGTGAAGTGTCTTTCGGACTTGATACCCTAGTGAAAACATATCGGGTTTACTTGGTGACGTAGTGGATGTGGAAGATCTTGAACTTTTCACCGCAGTAGTAAAACGAGACAATATGCTACACACATATCATGTTTGCCACACGTCAATTCATACGGTTGTGTTCATTTAGGCCTTGAACAAATCCTGGATTTCGTAGGACTTGTAGAGAATTTAGCCATGTCAATTCTCATAATGTGGCCCCATTTACTCCTATATAGGTGACATTAATTAAGAATAGTCTGCCATATTCCTCTTGATAACAAGATATTAATGTCATTAAATGTATAAAACATAATCCCTCAAACTTCAATAGACAACACACATATTATCATAAGAATTGGTAAGTTGTGTGTTCAACTTTTGAATCAAACTCAACCAGTTTGCCTATTGAACCTAGACCATGGGATCTCTAATCAGCTAGGTTAGGTTTTCGCCTAGTTCGATTCATTGAATTAACTTGAGACCCATTCCTCTCGATGTAAATAATATTTGCTCTCCAACTTGCATCCAGCATCAAAAGGAGTTGCGGTAGGTTTGCAGTCAAATTGACCAAACCTTCGTAATATTTTTTTTTTGCAAATGAGATTGTGTAAGGACATACCCTTCACTATTTCTCTTAATTTGAATTCCTAAAATGACATCGGCTTGACCTAAGTCTTTCATGTCAAAACTTGAATCCAACATTTTCTGTGTTTTGTTTATTACATCTTTATCGCTTCCCATTATGAGCATATCATCCACATACAAACAAGCAATAACACAAGTTTTATCATTACTCTTAATGTAGACACATTTATCAGATTCATTTATTTTGAACCCATGTGTCAACAAAGTATGATCAAATTTCTCGTGCCATTGTTTTGGTGCTTGTTTAAGTCCATATAATGACTTAACTAATTTGCACACTTTGCTTTCTTGTCCTTTAAGCACGAACCCTTCAGGTTGTTCCATGTATATTTCTTCATCTAGTTCTCCATTTTAAAATGTTGTTTTTACATCCATTTGATGTATATCAAAGTTGTATGCAGCCGCAATCGCTATTAACCTCCTAATTGACGTTATGCGAGAAACTGGAGAATATGTGTCGAAATAATCCAACCCTTCCTTTTGGCGATAACCTTGGCTACTAAACATGCCTTGAACTTATCAGTGGTTCCATCCGCCTTAAGTTTCTTCTTGAAAATCCATTTATGGCCAATTGGTTTACTACCGGAAGGTAAATCAACCAATTCCCATGTGTTATTTTCCATAATGGATTCCATTTCACTTTTAATTGCTTCTTTTCATAAAGGAGCCTCGGAAGAAGACATTGCTTCTTTAAAAGTTCTAGGTTCATTCTCGGACAAGAAAACAATGAAATCTGGTCCAAAGTTTTTAGAAACTTTGATTCTTTTTCCTCTTCTTGGTTCCACATCTTGGACACCAGAAGAAGAGACTTCATCATGACTATGATCATGAACCCTCTTTGTATTAGAACCAGATTCCTTATCTTTGTAAGGAAATATATCCTCAAAGAATTCTGCATCCGCCGATTCTAATATAGTGTTAACATGTATGTCAGAAATCGATGATTTTACAACAAGGAACCTATAAGCAGAACTATTATTTGCATATCCAATGAATACGCAATCAATAGTTTTAGGTCCTAGTTTCATTCTTTTCGGTAACGGAACTTGCACCATTGCTAAGCAACCCCACACTTTGAGGGTTTTATAAGTGGGTTTATGTCATTTCCATAGTTCATAAGGTGACTCGTCAATCTTCTTTAGAGGAACCTTATTCAATATGGTATTTGCAGTAAGTAAAGCTTCACCCCACAAACTGTGTGGAAGCTCTGAACTATTTAACATGGAATTAGTCATATCTTTGAATGTTCTATTTTTTCTTTCGGCAACACCATTTTGTTGTGGTGTGTATGAAGCCGTTGTTTGATGTATAATTCCATTTTGTGCACAAAAATCTAAGAAGGCAGTAGACTCATACTCTCATCCTCTATCGGATCTAAGTGCTTTGATTTCTCTCTCTAGTTGATTTTCAACTTCGGCTTTATATGTCTTAAACATATTCAAAGCTTCGTCCTTGCTATGAATCAAATAAACATAGCAATTCTTACTGCAATCATCAATAAAAGTGACATAATAATTCTTTCCTCCACGAGTTGGTGTGGATTTAAAGTCACAAAGATCATTATGAATTAATCCAAGTAATTCATTTGATCTTTCCAGAATTGACCTTCTCGTTTGCCTAGCAAATTTCGATTCAGTACATGTTTACACTTATGATTAAAATCAATTTCAAATTTAGGTAATAATTCTAATTTAACCATTCTTTGCATGGAATAAAAACATGCCAAATATTAGAAGACTTAACAATATAAGTAGAAGCATTTATTTTATTAGCATCATCAATGGCAATTACATTGAGTTTCACGAGGCCATCAGCCACATAACCCTTTCCAACAAACATCCCACCCTTGGTAAATATAAATTTGTTCGATTCCATTACAAATTTAAAGCCCTTAGCAATCAGAATAGGTCCAGAAACCAAGTTCCTCCTTATTTCAGGAACATGCAGCACATTCAGCAAGGTGAGACTCTTTCCAGATGTGAATTTGAGTACCACTTTGCCTTTGCCCTTCACCACAGATGAGGCAGAATTGCCCATATACAGCTTTTCTCCATGGGCAGCAGGATGATATTCAGTGCATAGATTTCTGTTAGCGCATATGTGCTTAGTAGCACCAGTATCCAATAGCCATTCACTCACATTTGAGACCATGTTGACCTTGGACACAACAACAGCCAATTCTTCATTGGTGGTTGCCATGTTAGCATGGTTGTTGTTGTTTCCGTTAGTATGATTTCCATCCTTGCGATGATAACAATCTTATGTCTTGTGACCAGATTTGCCACACACATAGCATGCGCCCTTAATCTTCTTTAGATTCTTGCCTTTGGGAGCAAGGGCAGATTGTACAAACTGCTTAGTTTTCGGAGCCTTATTCTTCTTCGGCTTGGCCTTGGAGTTTCCTCCCTCAACATAATTTGCATTGGCTTTAATGGCAGCAAACCCACCAGAATGGTCT